ATAAATTGTATAGGCTGTTCGATTCGGTACTAGCAAACTCATGTAAAACGTGTATTCTCTGTTCAGATACACTTCTTCATTTTCACCAGTAGGAAAAATTTCTTGGAATAAAATTGGGTCACAGAATGACAAAACGAGCAGGAGCATACAACATAATGAAAAACAGCACAATTTATGCAATTTGTACAAAATTAATCGCTTGGTAGCCTGTCTCAGTATACCCGATTTTAACAAATTAGCAGAACGTGATTAAATATAAAGTGATCCATCTGCCGGACGAATATATCCTGTTGCTATTAATACTACATCAACGATGGTCCAAATACCGAGACCTCCAAAACTGAATAATTTGCCAATGGCCGACTTCCATAGACCGAGATAGAATCGGTCGGCTCCAAATCCTCCTGCAATCACTGAGTAGAAGCTATCCGGAGTACTAATCTACTTACAAACTACTGAGCTACGAAAGAATTGTCGAAATAAAGTTTGTAGGATAGGGCTTCTAGACGCTATAATGCACTGAAACATACGAATTTAGTAATATAACTTTGAATGGACGTACCTAATGTTACTGACAAAAACATCGCCTTCGCCCAACTGATCCCAGACGACCAATTACATCTGCAAAAAAAATTGTTGCACGAATTATTCCAAAACCAGGGGTTTGACACCAGAAAACTACAAGCGCTCAGTAATTGATCAATGATTGATCCATGGTTTCAACAAAAAGGATTAGCGAGATTTTGTTTTTAGCAATTTAGTGAAAGGCATAGCACGAGAGCAAAAATACACAGTAAAAACTATGTAATCTGTGACACACCTAACACGTCTGTTGAAAGTCCGACGACCTTTGCAAATGACGTTTGGATGTACCTAAGAATAACAATAAAGAAAAAAGGAAATCATAATTTGAAGTAATAAAAGCTCACCGTGCACTCGGTCAGTACAAGCTGAGAGCTTGTGGTAGAACAGTTTGACTGCGGTAAACAGTCGAAATCGGATGGTGAAGACTGCCAGCAGTACCTCAAATTCATGGATTTTCCAATCTGTTTCATTGTTTTGAGGAAAATGAGGAACAGGTACCCTCGAAAACTTGAATGCTTCAATATGGAAGCTAAGTTACCCGAAAAAATCGAATGGCGGAGAAAAAAAAAAGCCGTGAGATTTAGCAATACTTCCACTGTGAGTTGGCTTGAGATTCACCTTCACAAAAACACACAAACAGTGCTGTTGCAGTCCGTTCAAGAGGCATAGTTTGTGGGCGTACCCGAAAAAAATCGAATGGCGGAGAAAAGAAAAGCCGTGAGATTTAGCAATACTTCCACTGTGAGTTGGCTTGAGATTCACCTTTACAAAAACACACAAACAGTGCTGTTGCAGTCCGTTCAAGAGGCATAGTTTGTGGGCGACTAGGCCCTTTCCAAATGGAAATGTGTGGCTATATGATACTAGTAAGGGCAGTCCAAAAAACGAAGCAGGGCTCTAATAAGGAGAAAAACAGGCTAGAACTAAAGAAGTTGAAAATTTTGCTCAAAGCAATGCTTGCTTTGACTGACAGCTTTTATTGATCAACACAGCACCAAGGCTGAATCTAGCCTCAAGGCACCCTTCGACGGTTAATATAATTTGACAGATAATGGAAATGTTGCCAAAAAAAGTAACAATTATGAAAATTGAGTTCATACCTGCAGAAAGTTTCCCGTCTAGTGCTTATCTGATTTGATCCGCATTCTTTTAATTCACCTTTACAAAAACACACAAACAGTGCTGTTGCAGTCCGTTCAAGAGGCATAGTTTATGGGCGTCTAGGCCCTTTCCAAATGGAAATGTGTGGCTATATGATACTAGTAAGGGTAGTCCAAAAAACGAAGCAGGACTCCCCACCTAAGAAGGAGAAAAACAGGCTAGAACTAAAGAAGTTGAAAAATTCGCTCAGAGCAATGCTTGCTCTGACTGACAGCTTTTCTTGATCAACACAGCACCGTGGCTGAATTTAACCTCAAAGCACCCTTCGACGGTTAATATAATTTGACAGATAATGGAAATGTTGCCAAAAAAAGTAACAGTTATGAAAATTGAGTTCGTACCTGCAGAAAGTTTCCCGTCTAGTGCTTATCTGATTTGATCCGCATTCTTTTACTGATGTACAATTAACTTGAACTGGCTCATCAAGCTGGCAGTCAGAGGGGAACTTACACGATAAGCATGCTGCATCCAACTGACAATCAATTCGGGCACAACTGAAATAAATTGAACGTCATGTATGATAAAGTGTTACCCAAATTTATATTATTCTAATTCTAAACATATGACCGTCGTGAAATAAAGAAGCTACATAATTCCAATTTCACCTGTTGAAACACTGGGAGTGCTTATCTGATTTGATCCGCATTCTTTTACTGATGTACAATTAACTTGAACTGGCTCGTCAAGCTGGCAGTCAGAGGGGAATTTACACGATAAGCATGCTGCATCCAACTGACAATCAATCCGGGCACAACTGAAATAAATTCAACGTCATATACGATAAAGTGTTACCCAAATTTATATTATTCTACTTTTAAACATATGACCGTCGTGAAATAAGGAAGCTACATAATTCCAATATCACCTATTGAAACACACACTGGGAGTCCTACAGTATTTGAGCTCTCAAAGATATTTTAAACGTGGAATGGACTCAATGACAGAAAGAATTGTTGGAAAACGAAAAAATACAGGATTGAAAAAAATGACGGTATTAAGAAACAGCTAGAATTAGAAACTTACTGCGCGCGACTGTTCGTTCTACCTCCGTTTACGACTGAGCTCAGTCTGACAATCAATTCGGGCACAACTGAAATAAATTGAACGTCATGTATGATAAAGTGTTACCCAAATTTATATTATTCTAATTCTAAACATATGACCGTCGTGAAATAAAGAAGCTACATAATTCCAATTTCACCTGTTGAAACACTGGGAGACCCACAGTATTTGACCTCTGGATATTTTAAACGTGGAACAGACTCAATGACAGAAAGGAAAGAATGTTTGGAAAACGAAAAAATACAGAATTGAAAAAAATGACGGTATTAAGAAACAGCTAGAATTAGAAACTTACTGCGCGCGACTGTTCGTTCTACCTCCGTTTACGACTGAGCTCAGTCTGTTCGAATTAACTTCCAGCACACATAAGAAGAGTAATGTGCAAACTACTTTACACATTACACCTAAAATTCGTAATAAAGCCTATAATCATTGAAAAAACCGATACGCATCTATCGTTATACGTTTCTTAGCGAAAGAATGTGGAATTAAAGCAACATTCAAACATAAACCTATAACAGATTACATCTTTTGGAAAGTTTTGCAGCGAGGAATTAGAAGTATACGGAAGTAATGGAAAACTAATACTTCGCTCATAGTGCAGTTGATTCTTAACCTTCTAACGGAAACTTGACGATGCAACAAGATTACTATAACATGAATACTAAAAAGATACGGCAGATATAGCTGGTTTACTTATTGGATGCTATTATGGTTTCCAATGAGGATAATACCACACTAATAGACTAGTAAATAGACACGAAGAAACATAGAGAAGATGAGTCATTTGCTAGCCTTCTGAGCCGAAAGCGTAGCGGAGTGTATTAAATCTGAGCGAGCCGAAAAAGAAAACGCAATCGTAAATGAAATAAAAATGAGCGTGAGATACTGTAGAATTCCGCGCTACGCAATTACACTCAGCGTCCCGAGGTATTTTACGCTAGATCGTAACAAGGGAACGCAGCATTGGTTTTCATGCTTCCTAATAAACATGAGAACTCTGTCAAATGTAGCTGTCCCGTCTGTGGTCGGGAAATTCATAAGCATAGCTATTATCGTCATCTAAGACTTAGCCATAAATATTCCGCGGAGCAGTGTCTTCAACTGAAGAATGAAAGGCTGAAAACTGCAACCAGTCCCCACTGTCCTTTGTGTTATGAAAGGGTCGTAGACCAAGAAGCCCTCGCAATACACTGCTCGAACAACCATTCGGAATACGGTGTCTGTGGTCAACCTCAGAACTATTCAGTGTTCGTAAAGGAATTTTCAGATGAGCAATCTTTCAAGGTTTCTTTGAGTAGTTTCTTACCTTCTCATAGGTTTCATCACTGAAAAATGAAATTTAGGTATGGCTTTTGGAAGAATGCAAGAAGACCTGTACGGGATTATGGC